AAGTATAAACAATAACAAGGCACCCCTAATAAAATTAAAGTCGTTATTCAGAACATAGCATATGCAAAATTCAGATTTCCTAAAAATCAAAATAGAATCAAAATTGCTCTCAGAAAAAGTCCAAATTAGGGGCTTTTTAGGTGCTAATTAAGTACCAAGTTTAAAAATTAGGTGCTCTAAAATTTTCACCGCTATGAACTGTTGAAATTTGCGTTGCTAGCAAAACGCGTCGCTAGCAACGCAATAAAGTTATTAGATAAACGATAAATATTAATAGCAAGGAATTAAGTGCTAATTAGGTGCTGCAAGTATACGCAATAACAAGGCGCCCCTAATAAAAATAAAGTCGTTATTCAAAACATAGCAGATGCAAAATTCAGATTTCCTGAAAATCAAAATAGAATCAAAATTGCTTTCAGAAAATGTCCAAATTAGGGACATTTTAGGTGCTAATTAAGTACTAAGTTTAAAAATTTGTTGCTCCTAAATTTTCACAGCAACGAACCATTGAAATTTGCGTTGCTAGCTAAACGTCTCGCTAGCAACGCAATAAAGTTATTAGATATACGATAAATATTAATAGCAAGGAATTAAGTGCTAATTAGGTGCTGCAAGTATAGCCTATGACAAGGCGCCCCAGATAAAAATAAAGTCCTTATTCAGAAAATTATTCAGCAAAGCAAATGCAAAAATCAGGTATTTGTGTTTGTGCCATCTAGCGTCTATCGTACTTACCACCTTGAGAGTCCATCGATTTTGATTTGATAAAATTACTAGAACTATAGAACGTTGTAGATGGCGATATTTATTACATAGCAATTTACTGGAAAGAAAAAATCCTTTCGATTTAGCACATAAAGTTTAGGCTTTACATGTCTAAAAATAAGAATTGTAACATTTATTTGGTTGAAGATTATATTAAATAATATTATAGATTTATTATTTATTTTTGCATTTGCTTTGCTGAATAATTTTCTGAATAAGGACTTTATTTTTATCTGGGGCGCCTTGTCATAGCCTATACTTGCAGCACCTAATTAGCACTCAATTCCTTGCTATTAATATTTATCGTATATCTAATAACTTTATTGCGTTGCTAGCGAGGCGTTTTGCTAGCAACACATATTTCAACAGTTCATAGCGGTGAAAATTTTAGAGCATCAAATTTTTAAACTTGGTACTTAATTAGCACCTAAAAAGCCCCTAATTTGGACTTTTTCTGAAAGCAATTTTGATTCTATTTTGATTTTCAGGAAATCTGAATTTTGCATCTGATATGTTCTGAATAACGACTTTATTTTTATTAGGGGTGCCTTGTTATTGTTTATACTTGCAGCACCTAATTAGCATTTAATTCCTTGCTATTAATATTTATCGTATATCTAATAACTTCATTGCGTTGCTAGCGAGACGTTTTGCTAGCAACGCAAATTTCAACAGTTAGTTGCGGTGAAAATTTTAAAGCACCTAATTTTTAAACTTGGCACCTAATTAGCACCTAAAAAGCCCCTAATTTTGGATTTTTCCAAATGCAAATTCCCGACTTTGCGTTGCTAGCGATACACAATTCATGTCTGAGGCGTAGACCCCTAAAACAAACAACTTCTTTAAGCCCACTTTCAATCGTACCCATAGCAGTCTCGGGCTTACACATCCATACTCTTTCACACAATGACCCATTCTTTCTGAAAGGATGATACCGACTCCCTGGCATGCCCGCTCGGTCTCGTCTACACCAGACCAGTACGCGGTATACATGCCATGTGTGGTGGCATCCTTTCCCTTCCGTTTCGTCTCATTTACACATAACACGTCTATTCCTCTATCATACATCATATCGCATACTTCATCCATCTTATCATTCATTGCTCCACATACATTTAACGTAGCCAGACGGGCTTCCGCAATCCACTTTTCGCCCCTCCGGGGGACAGAACGTGACAGGTGGCGAACCTTGTCGCCGGTTTTCCTCCCGGAGATTCTTCGCACCCCTGCCCCATTAAAGGGGCGCCGGGAACTCGGGACCATTTCATAAATGTTTTGCCTCATGGTGCGAAAATAGGGGGTGGTATTTTTTACGCCGCTACCACACGGCGAGGAGCCGTGTCTGTTCTTTCGGCTTTGTCGCTTGTTTAGCACCACCCGAGGGACACATGTAGGGTGGGCCTAGGATTAGCTGGTTCAAGCCTACGGACGCGAGCGACTCATCCCCCTTACGAAATATGGCAGAAATATATGCTAAGGGTACCCTGCAACATCTAAATACAAGTGATTTTATATTATGATCTCACTCTTAACTAACGTCTCGTATACTGGAAACTCCCTTTCTCTAAGTGTGTGTATAATTTAAGATTGTCATGTATTTAATTAGTTTGGTGCCTAAAGGTTAATAAGTTTGCACTTTTGTTGAAATTATTAAGAAGAGACTATTGTAGCCCATATTTCGTAAAAGAAAAAACTAATTTGAATTTGAATTTAAATTTTCTTGACGGATGGCATTTTTAAAATTGATCGCTTAATAATTATGATGATATTGTGATGTTGTCACGTGGAACGCCTGGGTCATCATCATAACTCTATTCTTGCGATGAATCCTGATATCGTGTTAATAGACCGGGCAATCAAGGATAATTTTGGTCGACATTACGATTCAATATGACGAACTGGGAAGTTCATAAAAGCAAAGAACGGATAGTAGTACAAAATATTTGAACCAAACTTACGAAGTGGGTCTGCCGTGGCGAACTTGCGAAGTGGCGGTGTAAGAATATCCAATACCTTATATAATCCCATGTGTGTCGTAAGAGGCGACAAAGGAAAACAAATCAGGACATGGGTAGCAGCGTCTTCGTAATAACGGCTAAAAATACAAAAACTGCGGTTGCCAACCCGCTTGCCAATATGCCCTAAGAGGCAATCTATGGAGGTGCTTCAAGGGAGGTCATAGGCTATAACGGTAACACCAAGTGGGAAAGAACGAAATGGGATGGTCTGAAGCTCGAAATTATTCTAGCAGTCGTTTTTGCGAACTGGTCTCTCGGAACGTCTGAGGCTAATAAGACTACGGCTTAAATGTAGAATAGAATAGAATAATTTTATAGAATAATTTTTTTATTCAATATAGATCACATGTGTAATTCTTATTGAAAGTCATTTTTTACTTTACCACTGGTTCGAAAAAAAACCTCTGTTCTGGGAAGAACCAGCAAGACACCCAGCGGGACTTTTTTTAAAGCAAATTTTACAATAATGGTTGTACAAACTATATAAGTACAAAATTTATTTGAGAAACAGCTTGGAAGCGATCACCTCATTCCCAGGGGTTATTATCAACCATGTATTCATTTATACTATAATAACCCTTTTTATACAGTTTCAACTTAACAAAACATTTAAACTTGCTAATAGAGGGAGCCTGTACACTTTGTTGTAATAGCGTATACATTGCCCCAAGAATGAATTACTGACTCTGTGGAGTCGAGAAACTGGTATCACTAGCTTGTGTTTGTTCCTAGTGTTTACAGAATGCACATCACTTATTTTACTAAAACTACCTTTGTTTTTGTGAACATACATTAAATTTTCGTAAATATACTGAGAGGCCAAAGTTAATATATTTATTTTTTTAAATTTATCTCTAAGAGACTCTATCGGTTTAGGTTGTAAATAGCTATAATGGCCCTCTTCTGTAAAACAAAAATAGTTTCTGAATCAGCCGCATTTCCTCATAGCAAAATCCCATAAGACATTATGCTATGGAAATAACTGAAATAAACTTATCTAGCTGTTTCGACACTAGTGAGACCTCTAATATTTTTTACAGCATAGGCTGCAGAACTTAGTCTGCTTGCTAGTTTGGATATATGGGGGCCCCACTGAAGCTTTGCGTCGAGAGTGATGCCAAGAAAAACAGTGGATTCAACAGGGCTCAGTTCTTCCCCATTTAAAAACACATTGGTACTCAGATTTTTAACATTCGTTGTTGTAAATTTTAAACATTTAGTTTTATTTCCGTTTAAATGTACATTATTAACGTTAAACCAATGCACTAATTTTGATATAGCATTATTCACTTCGTCACATTTAAATGATTGACGTTTAAGTTTAAAAATCAAGGAAGTATCATCAGCAAATAATACTATATCATGATTATCCTTTACACGAGAAGGTAAGTCATTAATATACACTAGAAATAGGATTCGAGCCCTGAGGGACACCCATTAGTACAGGTGAGCCGGAAGAACTTTTACCATTGATAATAACTTTCTGCATTCTATTACTTAAATATGAAATAATAAGTTTAAGCGCTGTGTTCTTGACACCAAAGTACTGTAGCTTCCTGATTAATGTCTCATGGTGAACGCAGTCGAAGGCCTTGGAAAGGTCACAAAATATACCCAAAGCATCCTCTGAATTCTCCCATGCACAAAAAATATGTTTAATAAGCTCAACTCCAGCGTATAAATTTTCTTTTGTTTCACAAACAAAATTTACGGTCGAATTGTTAAACAGATTGCTTCGTCTTTCATAACGCGTACTGTACAGGAGTGAAATAACTTGCTAGCATCTGTGTTTCCATCCTATTACAATCCGGGCGTTTCCGAAGCAAGAGTGAATATGCCTTTGTTACGCTAAGACTGTGCAATTTACCAACTAGGGCTTCATTACCACATAACACCAACTGGGATTACAATCATAAGCACTGGCTTAAAATAAGTAAAAAATTGTTTGCAAAGGTTTTCTTGTTATTTTTTTTTGTAAGTATTTAGGACTAAATTAGCTTGAATTAGGACCAAGGCCATCGGCTTCTTGAAACGTATTCGTAGACCGCTACCCTACGTTGACGTCACAGTTTCGTTGATGAAAGCTCGCCGCAATTATGAACAGACCTAAATGGAGAATTAAATCGCTAAGAAAAATTTTCTTGTAAATAATTCCCTTTTATGCTGTTGGTAAATAAAATAAATAAGTTAATTTACTTGCACTTTGTTTAATTGCAGGAAAATTCCAGTGGGAAAAAGTGTCTTCTACCAGATGCCTCCTAAGTAAGTATTAGTTTAAAAATACAACAATATAAATAAAATACATTTACACATTTACATATAGCAAAGTGCAAAGTATGCTATGATTTTTGAATATACACGTTACTATAGACTATTGTTACTGCAGTCTTTATGTTTTGTGTAAGTTAAATTCAAATATGATTATACTTTGCAGTATAAAATGTCAATATATTAAGTACATGAAATAAAATACAAACAAAGCAGTAAGGTAAAATTTACTGCTTTGATAGTTTCTAGAAAAACCTTGTGCAATATAAGACGAATAAAAACAATTTAAATTTGTATGAAATATAGGAGATAGTATAATTTAAAATAAAATATTTTGTACAACCGATTTCAATATATTTTCCTAAGGATAACTCAAAAACTATTAGTCAGACCTTAATCAAATTTATATAGAAGTACATGATAAGCACCAGCTTTCAAATAAAAAAAGAATCATCGAAATCGGTTCACGTAGAACAAAGTTATGAGGTAACACACAAAAAAACACATTCGTAATGAGTAGGTACCTCCTACTTTTTGAAGTCGGTAGACAAAACCGTATTAAAAAGCCAAAATTGTCTGTCCTCGAGGAAACTCTTTTCAGTTTAATAATTTTGTCTTAAAATTTAGTATGCACGATGAGATAAAGATTGTTGTTTTTAATGGTGACCAAATGGTCTTTCTCATATATATATGCATACATACATATGACACCAACACCGTTTATCACATGTTGGAATATGTATGATTTGATAAAACTTATTACATAAGGTGAAATAAATTTGTTTTACTTTATTCAGTCAAGTTATAATTTATTTCATTAATAACTTTTATTGTATAATTGAAAATCAGTTAAAGCCAAGCCAATTTTAGCTGACTTCAAAAAAGGTTGGAGAGGTTGAAAATTTAACTGTATGGTTTTTTTATATGTATGTTACGCGATTTCCTTGCTTATTGTGAACCGATTTTTATACCTTTTTTATGAAATACATAACCCATTTAATTCAAAAAATTCAGGGAATACCTTAGGGATCTCTTCTCTCTCTATCTCTATCGTCTTATATAAATTTTAAGGAAAACTCTACCCCTTTACTTCCATTCCTAAGGGTAGCTTGCATAGAAGAAATAAAGTTTATTTTTTCAATTTTCTTGTAACATGTTTGTTAATTTTCTAAAAATATTTTTAATTTATAAGACGTGTTGTTGTAATTGAAATTGCGCCATCATTCCCCGTATTTAAAATACTACGTATAGTGACAAACTACTGACAAGGATAACAGCAACGGGTTCTAGTAGGAATTTTGTAACAGTTGTGTTGATAAGTGGAATACAGTCATACAGCTGGTGTAGGTCATATTTGCATGCGAATGTCATTATATACGCTTGTAATTTTTGTTTTTTGGTATCTTTTCCCTTCAGTAAATATAATGCATACATTAATAGTTTGCTTGTACATTGAACCGATGTTTTACAAAAAACGTGTTGCTGTGTGATAATAATGCTATGGATAGAAAAATAAAGAATTAGAAACCAATCTTTTGAAAAGTTTCGTCAGAATAGTACGCACAAATTTCCAAATATGTACTTGGAATTACTCCTCACTGTAAACACAATGTAAAATAAAGGTTTGTAAAAGGATTGTGGTTTGATTGTAGGTTGCCCAGCCCATACATTTTTTAAAAATTTGTGGTATATTATTAACTCGAGTACTCTTGGAAATAACAAACATGTTACGTTAATTTAATATTGCTTCTTCCAAAGTTATATTGTTAATAATCAGATTAAATGTTAGGTTATTATTATCCGAAACCCTCTCAAAAATGAGAGGAGGCCTGTGCCACCTGCCTGTGCGACGTATGTAGGTTGTAACTTTAACTTATCCGAAATGCTATTTACGTCAGTCTTCTGTAATGCAACTTGGTTGAAACACTGGTTTAAAGAATAAAGAAAAAGTCGTACACGGAAGAAAACTTCTAGTGAAACGTACAGTGGTGGACCGCCAAGCTTCCAGATGGTGTGGATGGTATCGGGAGTTTTGCCGCGATGTGCGTTCATGAAATTTCACGGCTGGTATTAATCTGAACAATTCCTCAGAGCACTCCCCGTGGTAAATGTGGAAGAAACAACATGTCTTCGCAGCGCCAGTGAATCGAGCCGATCGGAAAGTGCCTTGTAAAGTTGCAGTCGGTGTGCCGGCATGAAATACTGTCCTGCTCTGCTGAACATGCCAAGCTTTTTACAGGCTAATTTGGCCTTCTCTATGATATGTCGACGCCGAGGATCCAGATACTGGCTGAGGCAACAAGGGGAGTGCCATGGAACTGAGGAGATATGACAAAGGGGTTCTTTTTAGCGGTAAACGCGCAAACTTGTCTTCTGGGGATTGAACTGGATTAGATTTAGTTGCAATCCGAGACTATGTTCAGCAAAGACTCGACTTCAGACACAAGTTTGTTCCGGTACTCGGCGACGTTTTGACGGTGTATAGAGCGTCACCAGCGATGTCATCCGCATAGAAATAAATGTTACTGCTTCGCAACATATCATTGATATGCAGAAGAAACAGCGTTGGTTATAGCACGCAGCCTTGTGGAACACCAACATTAATAGGCTTGTAGTCGGAACATGCACCATCTACAACGACCTTGATGTTCCGATCTGCAAGAAAGCTCGTGATCCAATTGCACTATTTCTCGGGAAGCCCATAGGAAGGTAGCTTCGAAAGAAGCGCTTTGTGCTAAACCCGATCGAGGGCCTCTGTAAGGTCCAAACTAACGGCCAATGCCTCCCACTTGGACTCTACTGCCTCCGCCCATCTATGAGTCATGTAAACCAGAAGATAAGAAGATCACCAGCTGATCGACCCCAACGAAAACTGTATTGATGGTCACATTGGGATGGTCGACAACGACGACGCAAAGAAAGAGCCTAGCAGATCGGCTTTCTCCTTTGTGGCATGGGCCACTGAGTCGTCCCCACTGTGCAGAGATGAAAGATACGACTGACAGAAGTTCCCTTGGACAGCCTTGGCGAGAGACCAGAATGCACGGGTTCGCGAAGAAAGGCGTACTAGTTTCTCGCCAATTCTGCCTATGTGCTCTGACTTTGACTTGGCAATGACTCTTTTGAAGGACCTGGAGGCGGAATTATACTTCTTTTTAAGGGCGCGTGTTTTTACATCACGGGACCTTGATATGTCAGCCCAGGCCCGGTAGAACTCCTGTAAGTAGCGTGATGCTATTTTACAGGAGCGATTTATTAAAAGAAATCTCAATAATTCTGTCCTTTTTATCTTTTAAACTCAAAATGCATGGTAATGTATTATTTTAACTGATTTAATTGCGCACGCACACATTAGTAAGGGTCGACGGTAGGCAATAACGTTGTTGCCTATAAATCACATTCAATTTGGGTTAATTTCTAATAAAATTAGAAGCCTTATATACTCGCATTTTCTAAAACTGCAAAAACGGTATATTATTATTTATTTACTAGCTGTGCCCGCGGCGTAGCTCGCGTATACAGGTTTCACATAAACAATTTGTCGTTTAGGTAAGAGAATATTAAACGATTTATTTCATTACTGTATCAATAAGTGGTAACTAAATAAATCATTATCATCAAAGTTCTAAGTCGTTTATGATAGAGCTTCTGTGTAAACGACGTGAGAAGTAGGCTTAGCCGGGGTGTACACTAAAAGGTTACGGGGGCTACTAACGCGGGAAAAAGCAACATAGAGTTGGCCATGTGCAAAACAGTCAGTACTGAGGTACACTCCTACAACGCGTAAAGTTTGACCTTGCGCTTTATTTACGGTCATCGCATAATACACGCTCACTGTAACTGGGAACTGAACGCGCTTAAAACTGAAAGGAAAGTTACTTCTTAATAGAGGGTTTTTGGGCAGTGCTGCCAGATAAAAAAAAACTAATTCAGCTCTAGGACAACACAAAAAGCGCTAGATTTCATGAAAACAGCGCTTTAAAAAAGCCCTAGATTTCGCGCTAAATTAACTACAAACAAAGTTTGTGTTTTTTATATAATCATAATAAAGAAAACAACATTAAGTTTTTTTTCTGGCAATATTTTTTTGATGTATCAATACTTCGCAGGACATCGACTTATAATTATGGCAATTGCTGTCAACAGTAGTTAGTACTGTACGAACAATAAAAATGTCATTAATTGTTTTAAAGTGCAATGTATTTCGCAACTTAGTTTCTGATGTCAGCATCTGATTGCGGTTGCTACACAGTTTCTTTGTGTTATAACTTCTAAGTAACTTTTAACTTAGCTGTGCTCTAAGCAATTGACTGAAACTGAATAAAGCAAAATAAATGCGTTGCCAAAACCATGAACAAAAACTTTAATAAAGGGGATTTCCCCGCTTATAGTCGTTGGTAAAAAAATCAAGTTGATCATCCTAAAGGGGAAGCCAGGAGATCCATAGCACAGGGTATCCTAGTTTGGACTCGTCTCCCAGGCTCTTTGTTTTGTGGAAAAAATATGTTTGAAAAAGATAAACTGCAATGTACTATTTGTGGGAAAAAATAATAAAGGTCATTATTATTATTATCGGTAATGTGGACTAACAGTGCTGCTATAAAAGAGTTAATAACCCGCTAGTCGCTAAAATATTGAAATGTGTGCTAAATACACCAAAAAGCGCTGGATTAAGCTAGGTGCTAAAATTTCGAAATGCGCGCTATACATTCCAAAAAAGCGCTAAATCTAGTTCCCAAAGCGCTAAAATGGCAGTACTGATTTTGCGTATATTATAAATACAATATCACGACATTTCGTTAGAAATTTTTTATTTTTGGTGGGATTCCGTTGTATGGCTTCGATGGATACAAATTTCTTCAGTACCTAAGTCTCAATACGATTCATCGGCGAAAAATCTCAACACAGCAATTCAGAAAAGTTTGAAATTTGTACAACTCCATCTATTACGTCCTTTGTGTGAGAAAACATCCTTTTTAAATCTT